AGGCCTGCCTGTCCTGCAAGCTCCTGTTGCGCTGCTGCTGTGTGTGTGTGTGTGCGTTGTGGTCAGCAGGTGCTATGCTGTATGCTGTTGCAGCTGCTACGTTGTGTGCAGGCGCAGCTGCAGCTGCTATAGTGTGCTGTTGCAACTTCAAAACACAAACCTTTAACAAACAAACCTTCAATGCTCTATAACTCGCGTTGTAGTAGGCCTACAACAATAATTTTTTACTTATTTTAAAGCTACAATTTCGCTCTATCTGTATGTGAAATTTCGCAATTTTTAAATATTTAATGCTAGTGCTAGCACTACTAAGGGTAGCTATGCAACAACGTTGCAACGTTGTTTTAAGTTTATTAAATATAGGCACTTAGTATTTTAGCTATTAGCAATGTTAGCGTGAAATTAGGGCTGTTGGGCGCAAATTGGGGCCGTTAGGGCCGTTGAACAGCTGTTGCACGACCATGCCACGACTGTCAGCAACAGCTGGTCTAGGCCAGATTTCGAAAAACTTTTCCTGATGTAGTATGTAATATAATAACTTAACTATTATATTACATAACCCTACCTTACCTCTATTAGGCTATACGCTTCCTATTTAGACAAAGCTAGTCTGGATTTGTCTAGGTCCTTCTAGACTAGGAAGAAAGTAGTCTAGTCCTTCCCCTACTTTCTTTATAATATACATAGGAAATATACGTAGATTATATAATCCTAGATAAGTAAGTAGTTAGCTAATTATCTAGTAGCTTATTAATAAAGAATAGATAAAACAAGCTTCTAGTTTAGACCTACATCGGGAAAAGTTTTTCCGTTGTCGAAATTGGGAAATCGTGGCATTGTACTGTGGGCAACAGTAGGACTTGTAGGCCTACAACGGTCATTCAATGTGTATTCAATGTCCAGCCAATTTCGAGCTAACAGCTCCAACGGTCCTAACAGCTGTAATGGCCACAACAACTCCTAATCCTGCTACAATAGTAGCTCTGCTTAATAAACTATACTTTTATTATATTAATATACTACTAAGTCTCCT